ACCTATGATGAAAATTACAGGCCTCTCTCATCTTTTTATGTGGGAGAACTTGCACAATTGGGGGCTGACTAAATACTTTTTTGCCCCACTGTAGTCTCAGAACAAGGGCACATAGCAACTATTAGGAGGAAAATGTTCCACAGATGCCTATTTGGCATCCATAGTATACATGTGGAGGATTATTCAGGGCATGGTGGTCTCAAATCAGTATACAGTATGTATGTATGTATGTATGTATATATGTATGTAATGAGTGCTTCCCTCCCTCCACACAAAGATTTCTTTTTACACAGAGCCATTTTGCCATTAGCTCCACAGTAACAGCTCCTTTTTATAAGCTACCCAACAAGCTTGCTATTATACACAGCAGATGACCAGAACTAAAAATTAGATGTGGCCTCCGTTTCAAATTGTTCTCAAGGCAGCAGCCATGAGATTCAGAGAAGAGAGTGGATGTGCAATGCTTTATAGAACATTCAACCTGCATGGCAGAAACCAGACTACAGCTCCAGAATTCACCACCACATCTATAGGACATAAACTGTGGGAGAAAGATATCTAAAACACTGGACTGCCAATCAGCCTGGAGGAGAGCTGGACCTACTCTCCTGTAGTAATTAACAGCTTAAGTTGTAGAGGTCAGGTCAAACTTTTCACTACTTGGGGATGAACAGTATAAGGGGAGGAAAAAAATCAAGATTTGTTCATTTTTATAGGAAAAACAGCTTATAGTATAATCAGTCACTAATACATACATTTATTGGAACAGCAATGATAACCTCCATAATTGAGTAATTTTTTATTCACAGTTTGCAATCAAATATTAGTTGCCCTCCTGTGGATAAGCCTACTTTATAGCTAACGGTCTTAGCATGATTCAGAATAGAGTAACCGTTTTGATCGCATACATAATCCACAGTGTTTCCTGTGGGGATTATTATAAGGAACTGACAAAGAAATATGCATCATTACTTTCATTATGCACAGAACAAGCTGCTGTTAAAGGCAATGAAAAAGCCTAGCAGAAAAGGGGAAATTATTTTTAAAAAATCCACTTGTCAGCAGCAAGTACCTTTAGAACACAAGCAAATGGAAAACTGAGTATCTCACAAAAGATTCTCATATTTGCCTTTGCTCAACTTCATGTGGTGCACCAGTTATGCCCTTTCCTGGATCAGGAGGCTCTTGGCCAATCAATCATGCCCTAGTCATCTCTCAGTTAGACTACTGCAATGCACTCTACATGGGGCTATCCTCGAAGAGTATCTGGAAGCTACAGCTGGTTCAAAATGCGGCCATGTGGACAATCTTGGGTACCCCAAGAACGGCACATATAACACCTTTACTGTGCGAGCTGCACTGGGTCCCATTTTGCTTCCGGGTCCAATTCAAATTGTTGGTTACTACCTTTAAAGCCCTACACGGCATGGGTCCAGGTTACCTGAGGGACCATCTAACTCCCATCACATCAACCTGTCCCACTCGGTCAGGCAGAGAGGGCATGTTGCGGACCCCATCAGTGAGAGAATGTTGGTTGGTGGGGCCCAGGAGGAGAGTCTTCTCTGCCACTGCCCCCGCCCTTTGGAATATACTTCCCCCAG